ATTGTCATAATTTAAATTATTTCATCTTTGCTGGGACACAAAATAACCACAACTCAGAAACTCTATTCCACCTTCATCAGCTGAAGAAGTACTGATTTTCTGGGACTTATTCTACTATTATGCATAGTGAAGTCCTTCAGTAACTGGAAGTGTACAGTTAGCTTCAAAATGCATAATGCAGCTTCAGGACCTTAATTGTGCAAGATTGTACAATTACCTGTGCAATCACACTGAAAAAATAAAAAATAATAATTAATGTAACTTTAGTTGTTATTTTTAATGAAAAGCAAAGTAGTTCAGATAAAATAAAAATTGCGTTCTATCCCTTTATTCAAGTTCTGCACATGATCCAAGATGAAACTAGCAAGGAAACTACAGCCATGAGCCTGTGAAGACTGCTGCACTTACCCATGGATAACATTAAGCACACACACGAGACTTCGTGGTCAAGTTCTCTCTCTACTTAGGCCTTAAATGCTGAGATATAACTAACACATATAGAGTATCTACTAAAGTTGCTACCAAGGTTGTCTTCATGTTTAAACACCAAACCAGATTTTAAACTGATTTCTTTGCCAATAGGTCTAGCCATATTATCATACGATATAAAATGTACCTTCTTGGCTCACTATAAAATACTAGAGAGAAGATATCATGCAAGTAGTTACAGCAACCTGCCTTTTGAGAAACGAATGAGAATCCTTGTTAAAAATAGGAAAGCACAGTATATATTGGTGAGAAAGACTCACATCTCTAAAGCGTCATGTGATAATTGAGTGCTGTTAGGATCCTGAAGAGAGAGATGCCCCAGTTCTTGCTTGAGAAGAGTAGCGAGACCACTAATCATCACCAGAATAGGTGTTGCTCTATGCTACTGTTGTGGTTTAAGCCCACCAGCAACTAGGCACCACGCAGCCACTCTCTCACTGCCCCCCCCACAATGGAATGGGGAGGATAATGGGAAAAAAAAAAGGTAAAACTCATGGTTTGAGATAGGAATGATTTAATAACTAAAGTAAAATAAAATGTAATACTAACAACAACAATAATAAAATATAGTAATAATAATAGTAATGAAAACTAATGTAATACAATAAAATAAAAAAAAAGGGGAAAAAACCCCCAAACCCCAAGAAAAGACAAGTGATGCACAATGCAACTGCTCACCACCTGCTGACCGATGCCTGAGCAGCGATCTACCCCTTCCGGCCAAATCCCCCAGTTTATATACTGAGCATTATGTTCTGTGGTATGGAATATTCCTTGGCTAGTTTGGGTCAGCTGTCCTGGCCATGCTCCCTCCCAGTTTCTTGTGCATCTCCTTGCTGGCAGAGCATGGGAAACTTAAAAATCCTTAACTTAGGATAAGTGCTACTTAGTGACAACTAAAACATTAGTTTGTTATCAACATTGTTCTCACACTAAATCCAAAACACACCGTACCAGCTACTAAGAAGAAAATTAACTCTATCCCAGCCGAAACCAGGACAGCTACATTAGCACATGCTCCATGATGGCACTGCTAAGCAACATGTACCTGAGGTAACATAATTTCCTGAGTCAGTTGGTAATTTGCTGATTTCCACCCATTTTCATTTGGGAGTAACTTAATCTTCATCTGTGCTTTCACTGGGGACAGTGATTCTACTCTACTATAACCGGTACAGTTCTACAGGCAATTGTTTGCCAGATCAGCTCACAAAACCATCAGCTTATTTCATAAAGGCTACTGAACAATCTTCAGAGTACTTTTAAATCTTTCTCCACTAAATACCTGCATCCTTCTTGCAAAGCCAACTCTTGGTCACGTTGCTTTCTAGGAAAACAGTTCTGAAGCCCAATATGGTGTTCCTTCACATGCAACTACCATAAAATACTCCCAATCACCTGCATGCACTTTTGAATCATGTCTTGATTTAAGACACAGGCCCATGACATCATCAAGCAGCACAGTGGCACTTGAAGTTCTATGGTTTACTTACCCCAAATGTCAAGGAAACTTAACCTCACAAGACTACGTTTTTAACAGCTTGGAAATGTCCCAGAGATCCAGCCACAGGAACTCTACAGTTTTCACATGGTAAAATGACCAAAGAAAAGCAAAACCAAGCTTCTCAGTGGCCTAAGTAACTTTTTGTTACTCGAATACCCCAAAATTCAAGAGCTACCGCTCCATTCCCATGCAACACTCAGTCTAATCAGAATGATAACAGTAGCATACTTCTTAACCGTCCACTAGCATTAACATGGCACCTAACCAGTGTAAGGGGGCTTCAAGGTACCAACCTACTGAAATACGTACGGCAGGGCTAGCTGTATTTCTCTGCCTTTCACTGAGCCTGGCTGCAGACTCAAAAATGCAGAAACGTACAGTTATAGTCTCAAGGTTGTTGACAAAAAAACCCCACAAGCAAGAAAGCTGAGATGTGAACTCGGTGATATTTTTGAATTCCCTAGCTTTAGGCCTGGGGATTTTGGAGCTGTGATGTGAATTTAGAAGGCTGGTAAGCAACGCAAATCAAAGAGCGGGCATTTTTAGGCCTGTGAAATGGCAAAAATCTTGTCTGTGGCATGTATGTATTTTCATGTGGAAAACAGTTGTGTACATCTGAAAGAAAGGTATACTTATGCAGGAATGGTACTTACGAGCTGCTTTGATTTGTTTCTGAGTAGCCCTGTATCGTGTATTTCCTAGCCCAAGGACTGCATAATGGTCTTGATTCTGAGGGGGGAAAAAACAAAAACAAAACCAAACCCCTAATAAACACTGGTAAATGCAACCTAAAAATCCACAATGCATGCAGAAAAACAGCTCTTCTCCCCATCTTTTAAAAGCAAGAGGCAGAATTCTTCCCTCTCTCAACGAATATTATAAAAAGAACAATTGTCGTAAAGGCCGTAACTATTGAATAACCAAATAGTAATAAACTAAGCCACTGTTACAGAAATTCAAGTAGCTTAATCTAAATTGGATTCAAGCACTGAATCCCAGAAAGTTCAATTACTGGAGAATTGAATTGCTGTCTTTAATATTAAGAGTGCTAACACAATTCCAGAATAAGGGAGGTAGCAATGGGGAGGGGAGACACTTTTACTGCTTACAGGCAGTAAAATGAAAAACAACAGTTCAGGACGAAGATCTTATCCTGCTGTGTGCTTGAGTTTCCCTTCATCAACTGGTTATGCCTGGGAAATACAAACCCAGACATAACGCTAACGGACACAAACCAATTCAGATGGGGGTGGGAGGGGAGGAGGAAGGGGATCTTTAGCAGCTGGGAAGAGCAGATAACTTTGACAGGAGACTTCCAGCAAAAATAATTAACACTAATCTATATCAACTGAATACCTTCCAGTCCTTTGGATCAAGGGTTTTTAACATAGGAAATTCTTCAAGCTGCAATTCTTCATCCCCTGATTCTTCAGACAATTCCTTCTCATCTTCTAGCTCCTGGAAAGAGGCAGAAACATTTATGTTTCTCCTCTTAATAAATGCTTCAAACCATCTTCCCACAGGTTCCACTTGACAGAGTACTGATGCTATAAGCAAAAACATAAAAACGACTTCACCTTCTGCGGTTTACTTTTTTTTTTTTTTTTTTTTTTTTTTTTTTTTTTTTTTTACTTTTTTTACATCAAACCCCACGGAAGCACTGCATCGCACAAGGCTACAGATTGCCAAACCTTCCAGTTCGCTCTACACCCACCAGACCGCTAGACCGCAAGAACCCGAACACACGCCTCTCAGACGGCCAAACGCTTCCCTGCGTTCTCCAACCTGGAAAGGTGCTTTCAGGTTAAAGGGATGCCCACGTGAAACGGTCCTTAGTGTCTTCCCGGCTTTGGCCACGGAGGAGGTAACTGCGGCAGACAACAGCGAACTCGGGTTGCTCTCCCCTGCCTTCCCGCTCCCCCTCTTACAGGCCACTCCCCCGGCAGCCAAGCCCGACTTGTTGCTCACGAAACGAGCACCCGGGCAGAGGCAACGCGTGAAGGGCACCGAGCTGAGGCGGAACGGGGAGGAAAGCCCTCCGCACACGCGGGATTTTGCACAGCCCCAGCCGGCGCTCCAGGGCTGGGTCTTCCCCCCCGCAGCACGCGCTCGCTCTAACCAGGGGAAACCCCCGCTCCTGGCAGCCGCGGCAGCGCGGGGAGGGGTGGGGGGATCCCGGCAGCGACGCCCCGCTCCCCTCCCCGAGGCGCCGCCT